AGACGCCGCCTCGTGCTTACCGGAGCAGCGGGGACAATGCCGCCCCTCGGTCTTGTAGTCCCGCGTGGAAGGGCGTAGTTTCCTATTCATTTGGGGAGCGGGGCTCCAGGCCCCCCCCCCCCCTTCCCTCCCCCTCCACACGTACACACCGACAACCTCGGGAAGAAACTGAACCTTGTCCAGGGCGAAACTTGTCGCTCTATTTTGTGGCAGGCTTCGTCATTTTTCACCGTTCAGCAACCCCAACTCATTGTGCGAAACTAGGCCCCTGCCGTGCGGTGTGGTCTGGAGCAATGTCAAGCCACGCACTGGCCGCTCTCGACGCTGTTCGCCGGTAATGCCGAACTTTTAACAAGAGAAGCGTCGAAAAGACTTCGAAGAGTAAAGCTGTGCGAACAAATCGATACGTGTTGCCAGGTGTATCCCACGTTTACCTTCGCAGGCATGCTGGATAGACCAAAGATGAGAACAAAGCTATTCGTCAGCCTCTCGCTTCAGCCACGCCTAAGTATGGTGCTCTCTGCACGTTACAAGGCACCCTCAGACTCTAACCACGCTTCCACCTAGTTGCCATCCATCCAGCACTCGGCAATACAATGATCTGGTTCAGGGTGCACTGACAATACTTTTAACACAAATGCTGCTAACGACAGAGCTTCCCCGAAGCGACACGACGATGTTTACATGTTGCACTGGTGCAAGAACTGCTAATGCATAAACTTCTACACGATACAACTTCGAATACAAAATTTTGTTATCGCCATTACTTTTAAGCAACAAGCGTCTTATGCACAAACTTCTACGCGACATCAATTCAATGCAAGAGGTCCTAACGCATGAACTCCACTGCGCCAAATATTTTAAAGTAAATTTCTGCTCGCAATTTATGTCATGCGACTAAATGCCTCACACAACATCTTATGGGTAAGCTTGCGTAGTGGAAAATTTTAGCGCATAATGTTTAAGCGATTAAATTCCAACTCCCAGCTCGTGTGTAACACTGCCTCCGTGCGACACAACTTCCAACATGAACCTTCCATTTCTTTTATCGCAAGAATGTCTGAAGCAGAAACTTCAACAAGACAGGCTGTTAGCGCAGGAAATTCCGTGTAACACAGCTTTTTATAAGGAATGTCAATGCCCGTTATGTTCCACAATCCGGAATTTCGGGAGGATATTGTGATGGACAGCGATGCAACATTGGTCTGTACCTGCAAAGATTAACGTGCCTATAAATAATGCATGTTTCTGTATGTACCAACGTTACATGCAGTGTTACATGAATTCGATTGTTATGCCAGTGATCTGAAACTTTTTAAAATATTTCCACCTGCTACCGCTGTGCGCAGTTTGCCACGCATAGCTTGAAATGTTGACACATGCCTAGTCGTATGGCGTACAAGGCACATGACAGCGTCACTGGAGCCGCTGAATTGGGAGGCGTCACCCCAGCCAGGGGCAGGTACCAGGGAGTTCTAAGGGCTTTAGCTCCCTTCGTGGATCGGGGGCCCCGCGGTCTGTCCTTCATGCCCGAAAGGCTCGAAGGGCCGATCGGGGCTTTTGGGTCTCTGAAACATGATGGGGCTCGTCTGTCGGCCTAAGGCTCCAGAACTGAGGTGGTGACCCCGATAGGTAACGGGGGCCCGGTACTGGGCAGCGTCGCGTATGCCGAACAGTACCGACCGACCAGTACCAAGACCCAAGGATATCAGAGAGCCTCTCCCGGCGTCGCTCAGGGACCTCTGCTTCATGTACGGGCTCTCCATCGGTCAGGGAGCCCCGGTACAGAAGAGAAACTCCAGATACTGAATAGGGATTCAAGACATTGAGCGGAGGTTCCGTAGATCCACGACATTGAGCGGAGGCTCCGTAGATTCACGATATTGGGCGGAGGCTCCGTAGATTCACGACATTGAGCGGAGGCTCCGTAGATTCACGACATTGAGCAGGGGCTCCGTAGATCCACGACACTGAGTGGAGGCTCCCTAGATTCAAGACATTGAGCGGAGGCTCCGTAGATTCACGACATTGGGCGGGGCTGCGTAGATTCACATTGGGCTGAGCTCCGTAGATTCACTACATTGAGCGGAGGCTCTGTACATTTGCGACATTGGGCGGGGCTCCGCAGATTCACGACATTGAGCAGGGGCTCCATAGATCCACGACATAGAGTAGGGGCTCCGTAGATCCACGACATTAGGCGGAGGCTCCGTAGGTTCACGACATTGAGCAGAGGCTCCGTAGATTCATGGCATCGAGCAGGGGCTCCGTAGATTCACGACATTGGGCGGGGCTCCGTAGATTCACAACATTGAGCAGGGGCTCCGTAGATTCACGACATCGAGCAGGGGCTCCGTAGATCCACGACCTTGAGCGGAGGTTCCGTAGATCCACGACCTTGAGCGGAGGCTCCGTAGATCCACGACCTTGAGCAGGGGCTCCGTAGATACACGACCTTGAGCAGGGGCTCAGTGCCGGCCAAGACTCCCATCAGCCGGACATGGACAGTACTGCGGCCGTCGGATTTCAGTCAGAGGGACTCCTCTTGCATCACCATGGAAACCTCTGAGACAGCGAGAGGCCCGCTGGTCAGGGGCCCCGGCACCGATCAGCGTCCCCTACCAGTCAGGGCCCATCCGCGGGACAGGGGCAGAGCTAGGGTCAGTAATTCAGGAATAAGGTCAGGTCAGGTCAGGAATAACATCAGTCATTCTCTCCGGGCCACACCTTCTCCGGTGTAGCCCGGGGACTCTTGATGAATTGAGTGGGTCTCGCTGTCAGTCAGTGGTCCGGTACTGAACAGGGGAACCCCCATACTGAACAGAGGTTTTAGTAACGAAACAGGAACAGAGCTATGGTCCTTGGATGTCAGTAATGGGGCTTACATTCCCGCCACTCAGGGCCCTGAGACCAATGGAAGCAGCTCTCGGCCCGGGAGCCCCGGGGACAGCTCCTAACAGTTTCTTGCACCGTGCCAGACAAAGGTTTCCGTGCCGACCAGAGGTCCCACTAACTGAACAAGAAGGTGATTACAGTCCAAGAATGTCGACCATAGAACCTGCTGCGTCGTTCACTCAACCTTGAGACAAGGGTGCGGTTTCCTGTTCATTTGAATTGGGCCCAGTCCCCTCCCAACTAAGGCTTCAGCCTCCCCCCTCCCTTCTCCCCAGTTATGGAAAGAAAGTGGGCTTAATCCAGTTACAAACCGCTTTGTTAGCTATTTTGGGGGAGGTTGCACCACCTTTCATTGTTCAGCTCCCACCCCCCCCCCCCCCCCCGTCATTCATTTTGCACAGTTGCCTTGATACAATGAGAGAGCTACTCTGCTCGCCAGGAGCCCTTGTCACGAAACAAAAAGACCCCATTGGGCACTAGTCCAGGCTGTATAAGCCAGTGGATCTCTGGGACAAACTCGGACGGGTTCAGAGACCCAGTTCGTAAAATGTCAGCCAGTGTTATGATGAATGTCGGTCGAAGGATCGCAGCGTCCCTTGGGCGCTGAGACGATGAAGGAATTGACCTCTACCAGTCAGGGACAGGCCACTGGTAGTGAGAGCGAATAGGAAGATCGCAGTACGAAGAAAGGGGCCCGTCCCTTGCAGGGCCGCTGAGGAAGCTCTATTGGTAAAGATGCCCGAAGCTCGGACTGGGGAACACATTTCCCGTATTGGCGGTGGGAGCACACTGATTATTCGCGTTAGCTCTTGGTGTCAGAAGTTTTGACGCATGGCAGTTTGTGTGCTAGCAGTGCATGTATTATAAATGACATCGTGTAGAAGTCCTTGCATAAGGTGTGCCGCGTAGAAACTTTTGCGTTACAGCTCTGATATTAGAAGTAATGTCCCGTAGCAGTTTTTGCTTGAGAAGTTTTATCGCAGAGAAGCAATGACGTGTAGAAATTTTGTGTTACAGGTTTTGTAGCGTAGAAGTTTCAGAAGTTCTCTGCATTAGAATCAGTGCCGCGTAAAAGTTGTGCTAGAAGTTGTGTCGCTTAGAAGAAATGGCGCGGAGAAGTATTTCCCTTACAAGTCATGTCGCACAGAAGCATTTGCCTTTGAAGTCATGTCGCGGAGAAGTGCTTCCCTTAGAGGCCATGTTGCAGAGAAATATTTGTCCTTAGTCATGTGGAGACTCCGGAAACAGCCATCTTAATGTACTTTCCTGGACACGGTAGCAAGAGCTTGGATGGCAACGCTCATGTCGCTCTCCTTGTCGTATTCGTCGATGTGCCGCTCTCCTCTCCGGTTTCACGCCCAGAGCGCCGCTGCGGAAGCCGCCGGGGCGAGTCTACGGAAGCTAACATCCCGACCCACGAAGGGGCTGACCAGGCGCCTTCTCCCACCAGGCCGAGACACCACCCCACGCTAAGGCCTTCACGCAGCCATTGCGTCCGGCAGCTCTCCCTCCACATCCGTTGTATGACTCGCATGACCTTGACATCCGTCGCATGACTCGCATGACCTCGACATCCACCACGTGACACGCAAGCCAGTGGCGCTAAAACGCGACGTCCGACCGGCCGTTTCCTCGTGTGGGCAGTGACGATGCAGGTCAGCTCTTTAACGGCCTGGATCTCCACACCGCCACCTGCAGACCCAACAGGGTATCGCAAGACCTTGTCCGTATTTTTGGCCAGTGCTGCTGTCTTCGCCGTTGACCGACTACTGTCAATCGATGCCATTGAATATCAACGACGTACTCGGCCCTTTAGGCCATAGGACGTCACGTACCTTTCCCCCTCGCAGATAAAACTGAGAATGTGGGTCTGAGGGGTCGCTATTCCATGCTCTGGCCGCAGTTAAGCCCTTGCGGAAGGCACGCTTAGCCTGGATCTTCGCCTTCGGCCGCACGGGGCGCTCCACAAGCCTTCCTACCGCCCGCACGATCATTGACGGACTTATCCCCCGCCAAGGAAAGGTGGCGTGAGGGGGAGGGGGCTGAAATGATGTCAGCGCCTGATCTCACTTCATCTGCTTTTTTGGCGAGCCGAAAACACAGCATTAGGATTCTGCAGTTTATTGATGAAACCAAACGCAGTCTGCGGCGCGAGTCGTCGGTGGCCTACACCGGACTCGGCGGTCGACTGCGGCGACGCCACGGCCTCCGGCGCCGCCCGAGGCCGCGCGCACTGCCCACAGCACGAGAGCGCGTCTCGGCTAGCAGCAAACGCACCCATGGACTGATGAAAACCGAGGCCGCGCGAGCGAACCAAACCGTGCGAGAACATCTCCCGTGTAAACACGTACCGAAACTCTGCGCTGACGGCAGACACGCCTGGCTTCCGCCCTCGGCGCTAGCCTGGCGGCGGCGGCGGCGGCGGCGGCGGCGGGGGGTCAGTAATCTATCTCGCCCTCGTCCTGGCGGTGCTGACCATACCCGGCGCCGTTGGAGTCGTGCGGCGGCGGCGGCGGCGGGGGTGGCGGCGGCGGCGGCGGCGGCTGCAGGTCGCGCGGCTTCTTGTCCTCGTCCTTGAGCGGCGGGTTCTGGCCGCCGTAGCTCGGGTACTCGGGGTAGTCGTCGTCCGGCTCCTGCTTCACCCGCACCGCGTCCGGGTCGAAGCCGTCCTCGCCAGTTGGCGCGCTCGCGCCGGTCCCCGCGGCGCTCCCTGCACCAGAGCGATCCGTCAGGCATGCCGGCACAGATACAGCACCAGGCAGGACGTCAGTGGTTTGGAGCTTTGAACCTCATTCCAGTGGCTTTCTGCTTTTTGCCCCGGCACGGATGATGAGGCGACTGACAAACAACATCACTAAGACGTTACCACATCGGCGCAGACAGGCTTTTGCCACTAAGAAGCGACTAATAACAAACACGGCACGAGATAAGGGCTCCCTGCTTGCAACGTTTCATTTTTCAGTGGAACCTCCGAGCCCACTGCAAGTTGAGCCGCAGTTCTACGCACAAGCCGCTGCACTCAGGCCGCTGGTGGGGCCGAAGCCGCCGGCGCGCCACAGCCGGATTACCGGCGGGGCTTTCCAGAGCACGCCAGGCAGTAAATCACTGCCAAAGACCAGGTGTCTCGGCCACCAGGATTATCCCTCAATTGACTGACGGCCGCCGGCCCCGGCCGGAGGCGGGCTCTACACTTCGGCCGCCGCCGGCCGCCGGGCCCCACCCACCTGTCCCTGTCGCCGCGCTCGCCGCGATCGCCGCGCTCGCGCCGCTCGCGCCGGTCGCGTGGCGAGCGGCTGCGGTGCTTGCGCCGCTCCCGGTCGCGGCTGCGCGAGCGCGTGCGGCGCCGCTTGCGCTCGCCGCGCTCTTCGACACCGCGGCGCTCGCGGCTGCGCGAGCGGCGCCGCTTATCACGCTCGCGACTGCGCGAGCGCCGCCGCTCGCCGCCGCCGCCGCGCTGCACGCGGTCCGAGTCCTCGCGGCCCGAGTACTTGACGTTGACGTCGGGCCCGCCGCGGCGCGTGCCCCCCAGGCCGCCGCCCAGCCGACGAGGCAGCCAGCCCTTGACGGTGCGGGCGCGCTCCACGTCCACCAGTACTCGGCGCCCGTCCATCTTCTTGCCGTCGGCGTGCTTGTAGGCGGCTGCAACACGCGACGGCCGCTCGTGACGCATCCCGGGCCACGCGCGCCACTTACCGCTCGGCCGCGGCCTCGCCGTCCGCGCAGGCTCACTGGCGTCACGCGCACCACCGCTCGCCCAGACATCCAGCTCATTCGGTCAGGCACAACACTCACTCGGTCAGGCACACACCGATTCATACTGCAGTCAGGCGAGCAACTCCAAACGGGGGATCAACAGCGCGGCCCTTCGGGCCTTTCGCCGAGACTGCTCCCACCATCATTCCGGAACCCATTGTCGAAACCCGGAGAACGCAGCAGCAAAAAGGGCAACGCTCATGCCGAAAACAAGAATACGGCAATACGGCAGCGGCCGTCGGGCGCTTTCGGATATCAAGGATGCAGACATCGTCTTTCCCAGAATGGATTACACACATCAATGCGTCGTCGTTACTCGTTACCAGCACAGCACAAAAACCGGTTTAACACAGGTGAACTTTCCGAACTCAAGCCTTTACAAGGCATCCACACACTGCGAAACGTTTGCGTCACAAACACGGCAGCGTCGCACAAGGCGGTCAAGTTCACCGGTCACCACAGAAACCTGACGCAATCAACAAGACGCCACAGGCACACACTAGACTCGCGTCCCTGTATCAGCCCACAGCCCTGGTTCCTGCGACGCACGGCGTCCTGTGGGCCCCTACGTGAGACGCGACACACGTTCGATCCGCAGAGCCTGTGGAGAGAAACAGACGGGCGGCGGCCGCCAGCAGCCGCCGCTGCCGCTCGAGCCCCGCGTGCCAACACACTCGTCAGCGGAGGGCGGACTGGATGCAGGAGAGACCGGGGTGGTGGCAGACCGGTTACCATTTACCTGCCGTTTGTTACCTGGGCAGTGTGCTTTACTGGTGGTAATCGTTCCTCGTTGGGAGCGGTGGATGGGCGAGGGGTCCGGCCCAGTGGCGCACGCGACGGGTGATCGGTCACCTCGACCCCACTCACGAAAGGTCTGTATGTACCACCTCCCTTACGCAGAGGTTTACCGACAGGCGGACCTCCCTTACTTAGAGGCGTATCGACAAATGGACCTCCCTTACTCAGAGGTAGACACGACAGAGCGTTGTACCTCCCTTACGCAGAGGTGTGACCCACAACGACACAAGCCTCAACAGGAAAACTCAAAATCGCCAGCCAGAGGGCTACGTTAGAAAGCTGGCAGATAATCGGGTACGTTAGAACAGTGAAAGGCACATATCGCTTTAAAAAATGCTAGGATTTCGTCGTTTTAACAATCCGATATAATCTTTAAAAATTAAGGATGCAAACGGCAAACAATTGTTCGCTCACAGCCCGCACTTACTTTTGTCTTCGGGAGTTGGCACTTACGCGTGATTGTGAGGGAAGACGTCGCAATATCCTGGCCATAACTATCACTTATCGCGTGTGCCACATAACACTACTTGGCGAAAGTGTTGCAGTGATCCAAAACTTCCCAAAATATTTTTAAAATCCCATAAGGTCCAGTATGTCAGCTGAATGCATCTAAAAAATAACTTTGAAACCCATTCGAGAATTTGTGGTTTCATTTTGCGTGACACACTGTGGTCAAGATTCGAAGATAATGACGGCTTGATCAGTGTACCGACGAGTGTTAGTTCCCGAATGCACCGCATGTGAAGTTACGATCATCTAGCTGCGCCTTTCGCATTTCGACTCACTAAATACCACCAGTGCCAGGAAAATTTCGAGCTGTAATCACCTTCAAAAGGGGGCCAGAACATAACATCCCGAGTTGGCTGTCCTTTGTTCCGAGCCATGAGGCGGAACTGACTCTACGGTATTTTTATCAACTCTAAAAAAACGTATTATGTTGGTAGAACTGAAATGTTTGCTCTAGCAGCAGTAGTCTCTCCCAAATTTCTTGTATGGTTTTCAGGGCTTACCACCATACAAACCTACAGGCCAGGGAATGGTATATGCACGTGGCAGTGTTGCGACCACAGGCTACGCGCCAGGGCACCGCCGTGCTGCGGCAAACAACAAAAACGTCAGTTACAACCATGAGGGAAGGATGGCGCCACCGAAGCTAGCGTGTGCAACAGCCCGCTCGGTTTGCGCCTTCAGAAAGGATGCAGGAAAAGTTCATAACCGCGCGTGGCAATGGATGCCGCCGAGAGCGTAGGACACAGTACAGGAGCTTTAGTCGGGAAGTGGTTTGACCGAAGCACGTGTTAACCACCGCAACATAAATACGGCGGGAACAGCCGTCTTCAACGATGGACCGCGAGGAGCAGCCCCGCTTAAACGTGTAACAAAGGTAAACGTACACCGCCAAGATTCTGCGGGGAATCGGCACATGAAACCCACAAAGCCCTGTGAATCCTGCCAACAAAGACAGCAGGAGATGGAAGTCAACAACGCGTAACGGCATGGCATTGGACGGGTCGCCAGACCCCGGCAGGCCCTGAAGACTCGCGACCAGAAAACTGGCCCATGAACGTTAGGCCGCGTCCGGAGCCACAGGCACGGCTCTGCGCTGCCGTTTGCGTGTCGGCCGCCGGCGCCCCCCACCACCCTCCGAAGGTCATCGGCGGCGGCGGCTTACTCACAGTGCATGTCGCGCTCGTGCTCGAACTCGATGAACGCGTAGCCGCGCGGCTTGCCCGTCTGCGAGTTATGCACCAGGACGATCTGCAACGGAGCGCTGTCAGTAGCTGTCCATAACCCGCGAGGCCTGAACGCGGAGACCGACGCACACCAAAGCATGATGATGGTTATTGGCCCGCAACGCCGGCCAGAGCTCCGTGCGACAGCCGCAACGCGACAGTGGACTGGGACAGGCAAGAAGCTGGGCTGTGAAAACTAGCAGGCAATACGGAAATGAAAAACTCGCACAATAAGGCACAAGAGAACAAAATGGGACACACCACTGACAAAAAAAAAAAACGGCAGACACGGCCGCGCAGACGAGAGCCGCAAATGCCAGTGTTGAAACATTATGTAAGCATTGCAGGAAATATGCACAGCAAAAGCACATGATCGCGACACAGAGAAGTAATCATCCATTATCATCATACCTTCTTGATGGGTCCACTGACTTCGAACTCCCTCCGTAGCTTCGACTCAGATGTATCATAGTTCTGAAACCAGTGAGTCGCGTGTAAATTTTTGTCAATGCTAACCCTCGCAACACTATATTTTTGCTCCAGAAAGATGTCTTGAGTCCAGTGCGGTGACCGCGAGCTGCCAGCTCCATAGTGATGTGCGGTGCTTTGCTATGTCCCACGTTGGCCGCACACCGCCTACTAGACATTCTAGAGGCCTAAGGCCGACTAAAATACGACATGCTGAGTCTGTCTGCCATGTAAGAAACAAGGTATGTTGAGACGGGTTGCCCGAAGACCTGCTAACAGAATACCGTTGCGACCATCATTTCACATTTAAATAATACTCCAGAACACGAGAAACCATTTAACTTCATATAAGGGTCTTTTCTGGGACATTATGGGAAAAACCTTAACTACGCCATTCCTGCGTGCCTAACTTTCACTAACTGCACACCTGCGTAACTGTAACACCTGCGTAACTAACTTCTAACTTAACATTCTTCCCCAGTTGCGTGAAAATCTTCGGAACTATTCGTAAAGGGCCATAATCAGCATACAATACCAAAAACAAACTAAGTCTTAAACGTATCAGTTCTATTTCACTGTGGCGAAAGTGCGACAAAAATTTCAGGGCGTTGTTGCAAAAATCTTCATGGCAAGCCATAGCAAGACACATTAATGTACCTTGATTTAATAAAGGGCGTACGTCCCAGAAACGAAATATCTGAAACTTATCAATCCTCCCCACAAAACGCAAATTGAGTAAATTTCGCACGTATTCGAATGTTCCCAGTAGTCCATGGCGGTATATCAGTCAGTTACAACGCCAGCCTTCAGATTCGCCCGCCCGAGATTCCAGAGACGCGCGAATCAGGCGACATCTCGTGCCCCTTGGAAGACCTGTTGGTGCGGCCCGCGCTCACCAGGTGACGGGCCGCATCAACCCACAGTAACGAATTTTTGTCACCGACCATAACCCTATGGAGCCGGACACGGTCGCAAACGGGTACTACCCTGCATTGTCCCCTGTGGTGTTCTCTGTGCCCTGCTGAGGTGCTCCCGGTTTCGCCATGGTTTCCGAGTACATGATACGTCCCCGTGGCCCGTCATGTCGCGTGGCCGCCTGATAATGGCCACTCTGGCAAGGCGGATGTTACATGCACAGCTTTCTTTTTCCGTGGAGGCTAAATGACATAAAAATGAAACTGATGTCACAGCCAGGCATGCAAGTCCTTTCAATCTCCCTACCATGGCGTGTGACATAGCCCGAGCCTGACCCTCGGCTGCAGTGAAACTCTCGAATTCCGGTATTATCGGTAGGACTTGGGTTGGGCTGCAGGCTCACGTGACGACGTTGTTCTATTACACAGTGCCGGTGCACGTATGCTTGCGTATCATGTAGAATGACGTCCACCGATTCCACCAGATACCATATATCAGCGAAACCCTCAGAAGGCTGGCACAGTGACGATATGAACAATCTGAAAGGATCTCGAGCCAGAAGTCGCATCCAACAGCATACTTACGATACGGGCGACGAAAAGGGTTTTGAATGGGTCCATCGTCCCATTATTCAAGCTTGTTGGATCCCCTGAAACAGCAAAGCGAGGTCACAATGATAGCTAATAGAGCCAAAAAACAGAAAAAAAGATAATTCAATTTAACTACCTATGCTAAAACCATGACGGTAATGTGGAAACATGTGGACATTATGAGGTACTAAAAAGCCATGAGGCTTCTTGTACTACAGTAAATTCGTATACAAATATCGCACTCACATAGGGCAATGTCCTGTTCCAATCTGTATGCCACTTGTTCCTGCTTCTCTCGTCGCTTTCTCTCCCTCCTTTCTTCTCTTGTTTCCACTCTTGTAGGTGGAGGGGTGTCAGCGGGATCCTGGGCACACACGTGTGCATAAGTCAGCTTAGCTGTCACACAGGGAGCCACCCTACTTGCAACGACACGTGGCCATGGCGAATTGTATGTTAAAGGAGCTGAAACCTAAGGAGGTAAGCACAAACTTTCAAACCATCAGACATTTCATGTGTCCCAAGGACGGACCCCGACAATACCAGAGAAGATTTCAGAACCTGACCTTAATGAAAACAAAACCGGAAACAAGCTCAAAATAAGAAAAAATCGCCTGAGCAAATGTTAAGCAGCACACACACACACACACACACACACACACACACACCTAACAAACCACAACACTGCTGGACACCTCCAATCCACATTGCAGCATTCAACTGCACACCGCTGTTTACTAAATCTGAACTAATCCTAATAGAGCTGAACTTCATCTCAAATTCGGTGTAGTGTATAGCAATTTTGGTTTCTATCATCGCCATCCAGCATAGCAGCAATTATCCACTTGAGTGGCATGGATTGATTATTCCTCATGCTATTGCAGTCCTGGCTCTGCCTTCACTGCCTGTTGCTCTCCCCTCACTAGGTACTGGCCGAAGAGGACCAAGCCAGGTGGCAGCCAACCCAGTGCCCAACAGGTCGGCAGGTGGGAATGTTGGCTCTGGGTCAAAGGGACAACACACAAGAAGCCAACGAAACATTGTGAATGGGGAGGAAGCTGAGGATCACAAGTCCGGTAGCATACATTGATATCCACATCCATGCATAGGTCACAGCTTTCATTTCTCCCTTTGGAATTGCTGGCATTCAAACCAGGGTCATTGGAGATTTTGCCAGCTTGCTAACCATTCCACCCGTGATACTGATACCCTGTCTCAACCTCCCATAAAACTTAAGGAATATTGTTCTGAACCTAGGCCTAAGAAACATCACAATGAAATTCAAGCACAAGTACATGAATTTAGTTGTTCACTACCCACTAGTCACAATCACATACAACAAGACAAGATTGTTAATTACAATGAAAACAGGTGTACTGTGCAGAGCATGCACACTTCTCTGATTGGGTTGTCCAGGAGAGTCCATGTTATCAAGTCTAATGTTTCAAGAACAAGTCCTCAAAGGTCTCAGACTTTTTAAAAGTAACAAAAAAATGTTCCTTGCCCATATACCACAAGCACAACAAGCACTGCTTAGCATGAGCTCTGATCCAAAAAAAATATCCCTTCCAGAGGTTCAGATTATTATTATTTTTTAAATATGTAGAACACAATGGAACCTTGGTGGGTTCAGTCCTCCTGTACACACATTTCATAGCTTACAGGTGTTGGTAAAAAATAGAAGGGATCAGAGGTTACATGAATCAGTGCTGTTCATGTGAGCAGTGACACCTACCATCTCACGACACAATTCCCAGTCAACAGAGGAATTTGATGGTGGAAGTTAAACATACTGCAGTGCTCGGCAACGGCACAATCCGTCCTTCCCCCTGACGTCACCTGACCTTTTAGCACGACCCCCTGGCACCAGCTGCAGGCCATACTGCTCAGGAACAACTAGCAAGTGCCTTAAGTGACTCGGATCCACCCACCAGGGATGCGTGAATCAGAAGGCAGACGCTCTCACAAAATGAGCTATCAGATGGACAGATGTGTATTGAGGTGTCCTTCCATGAACCTTGAGTCATCAAGAATCCCGACAAAAACATTTTGGTTTTTGGTCAATAAGCAATGCCTTATTGCCCTCCTTCCTGCACAAACAATGTTGTATGTGACAACACCAAGGCAAACATGCTTACTTTTGCACTGCAACATAAGTGTTTTATATCTTAAGCTTGCATGGACACCTCTCCCACTATCATGGTTACAAAAACACCAACAATTTGAATCAGCATCTCATGAAACCATCAGGTGCATTGTTCATAAAGATATTTCACCTTTTTCCTGATCAGCCACAGTGACAGCCATTAAACAATAACTTACAGGTGCCAAAAATTGCTTGCTATTTTTACAGGCTATTCAGTGATGTCATGAGCAGCTGAATCAAAACCTTAACATATGCTTTAGAAAATAAGGGATGGCATCTTTATATGCAGTTTAAGTAATCATAAAGCACATGTAACAAAGACTCTTCATCTTATGATCCACTGTTGTTACCAAGGGTCATGGGTGCCATAACACAAAACCACCTGAGCTATCAATTTCCAGACCCAGACATATCTTGACATTCTTCACCCACATAAGTGATGAAACATTTTTACTACACCTACCAAGAGGAGATTGACCAAGAAGACTCTGCTTACCAAGCATAGGGTGGGGTCTATGTGATATGCCTCAGGCCCTCTGCCACCTCACTCATGGCAGAATATTGTCAGATGGAGCTAGACAGGCAAACAACCTGTGTGCTGAGTAGAATCTTCCACATGACATCAAGTGGGACCTTCCCTGTCTGACTTATAGAAGTGGCTGTGAGCCAGAGCTGGACATGGAGAAAACAAATAGAATGCCACCAATTCTATGTGATGGAGACTTGATCCTCCTGTCTCGTCAAATGAAATCCACACCAAAATCTGACAGCAATGAGCTTCTGACATTCATAACAAAAAGTTGGCACATAATGTCACTTTGAAAAAGAAAGCACATCATTGCACCATTCATAAGACAAATGCACAACCAGACCTGAAATGTCTTGGCTGACACATACATCAGGGCTCATGTCTGGATCTTGTCTGGATCTTGAATCACCACTTTTGGATACCCTCTAAACAAAAAGGGCCAATCTTTAATGTCAATGCTGCTTACATTTGTTAAAAACTCAAGTGTCATTGTTTGCTCAACATTTGCTGCCTATATGAGGGCCATGACTTAACTGTCCCTCCCCTTGTATCTGCCCCACAAGGTCTTGAGCCAGTCCACAAAAAAATCATCCACTGTGGATGTATACATAATTTTGGTGCACTGAGCCTTGAAGCTAGCTGTTGTGTACAGAAAACTCAGACCAAGCTGCCTAATTGCCTTGAAATTGCCTAAGCTGCATAAAAATTGTTGGCTCTATCCACTGAAACAAGTGGTAACTATGCACACACTGCATATTTTATGCACAGTGTATCTTTAAATCTGGTTTATAGTAGCCACAAGTGGTCAGCCTGAAAAAAAGATTACACTTGATATGTCCAGTACAGCATCAACACTGCTGCAACAATACCTGAGCATGTACAACACAAATCTGAGCACTCTAAGGTTGGTGCACAGTCACCAACAATGTTGGTCCATAACCAATTTTTGTGAGGAATTATGAAATGGGAAGGGTAATTTTGATAAGTTTTTCTTAAGGCTTTTCATCCAAAAACAATGTGAATATTAATCTCAATTTCATTCACCCAAGTTGGACACAATGGAATGTGAGGTCCAGTGCACAAACATGCTGCCTGTGTATAGTACAGCAGAAAAACTTTTAAAAAATAACCAGAGGGTCTGCCCCTGCCTCCCTCCCCCCCCCCCCCCACCCACCCAGACTGTACAAAATATTATCTAGAGCATGACTTCATGTCCTGACCAGGCAGTAACAGAAATGATTAAGCAACACAATCTTAATCGCTCAACATTCAGAGCATGGTCACCACCAAAATCACCAAAATGAGCACATAGACCTATTATCCTGAGGGATATTATACTGCAAAGGTTATTTCCAACAAATTTCTAGCAAACAAATTTCAAAAACACATTTTCAAAAACTAAAAATTAAATGCAGGCTGACTCAGCATGAGTACATCACACATTAATCAACTCACACCAATATATTAAGAGTCTTGCACTGTGGGTGGAACATTAGCAAAATGTCCTGCATCAACATTTTCATTACATGTATTAAATGTGCACAAACATGCCTGCAATTATGACATAAGGTTCAACACCCCAAAGGTATCCTTTTTTACTATGCAAGAAATTTGTGCACCTGCAGCAAACATAACTGAGTTTGCAGATTGTTTATGCATCCCTTGCCACTTGAAGTTCTGCATACACCCTGTACACCTGCAACGCTACTTACCTCAAACTGTTCCAAGAACCCGCCTAATCCAGAGTAACCACCAGTCTTCTTTTCATGGGGAAGTTTATCCACCGGCGGCAAGTACTGGATAGGGTCGCGGGGGGCGAACAGCGCCAAAAGGTTTGGAGGGAGGAACTGAGTCATCTCCGACTGTTAGCCAACTTGCTGCTACAACAGCGCTCAATCGCCCTCAGCCTGGCCAGAGGATTTCGATACACGACTGGTCATAAACAACTAAAACAGCCAATTCCGCGCCGGCCTCCACATACACACATCCACCGACACACTTCGCGGCGCGTGGCGCGTGGCGCCTTTTCGCCGCAAAAATCGAAGATGGCTGACACATGTGCGACCTCCGATAGAGGGCTAGGTCCTATGTTTCTGCCTCGAATTTCTGAAAATCGCAAGATGTTTTCGGCAAAGAAAAACTTTAATGGTTGGACAACACTCTTCCTGAAAATTATCCACGGAAACCTAGATGCGCTGAGACGTTGAACTATAAGTAGTGCTCCTGTAGGTGGAGGCCGTGAAATGATTGCAATGTGCGAAATTTCACAATTTGCGTCAGTTGCATCCAGCTTTGTGATTGATTTCGCCCAGCAGTGTACAGAAGAACGAGACTCTTTTGAGGCCTTCATTCTCTAAGCATGGATAAATTTAGGTGTTCGATTAAACTGTCATGAACCTAACTGAACTTTCAACTTTGGCAAATTCATGAGCAATCTTACAGAACGCCCAAATATGAGTGTAATGATATACCGAACCAGGACAGCGTCCCGAACGTTGTGTGAAAGCACGCCACGAGCGCGAGAACCGCGGGAGCCGGAGGGGCAACGAAGCTGAACCCCACTCAGCTTTTTGATAACCTGATATTGACCCTGTGGGTGTTACCTGAAAAAGTATTCAAAAATGAATCTCGACTTTGGAGAACTTCCGTTCCTTTGAAGAATGACTTTAGGCCCACCTTGAAGAGCCCCAAACACGTGCAGAAGCGGCAGCATAGCACGCCCAGGGAGAAGAATGTCTCAAATCATAGGTACTTTCATGTGTCCCATCCGTAGACAGGGAACCGAAATTTCAGTGCAGCACTCTCAACACCTAGATTTAGAAGAATGCACCAGGGCGTAAGCAGTGGACCAAAGCCCACAAAGAAGAATTGTATATCACCCGTAATAATGACAGGTCTGAATTCATAATAATGCGCTCAAGAAGAGCCCAGTGAGCATCAGAATGGTCGTTTGGGTGGAGCAGAATGCTTTTTAGCTCACGTCAAAAGGCATCATCTATTTTTTATGGCTGTATTAACATCCCTAAGAGGTTTGAATTGCGGCACTGCAAATAGTTTACTTCAGCATTATAATGGATTTGGAGCGCCACAAATAGACCACATCAGCATCATTGCAGGTGTCATCTAGGGCTGATCATGTCACCCATAAAGGCCCGCATGGTATACCTTCCGGTTTTGGTTTAACGAAAGTTTCAAAATCAATCTTGTTGTGTTGAAAACCCGTGAAACACCGTTCGGCTAATTGGAAATCAAACTGAGTGCCCATGTCGAGCATGATGTATCACCCGTTTCAAAAGTGGTGTGTATACGTTAAATCATGCTGTTGTGTTTCATATTTGTAATCGGTGGGCGCAAGCGTACACCGCTTTGTAATCTGCCAGGAAGAGCACAAAAACGAGCAGCTTCTTGACTATGACGTCGCACATGTGTTGTTATTCGGAATATCGCTTCGAAAAGACTCACCACGCTGAAACCCCATTAAAGCCATGAAACAAATCGCAAAAGATTCTCCTGCACGTGAGGCTCAAAGAAACGCTCGTGAAACTTGCGCCTGGGTAAACACACCTAGTATCACAACTGCGGAGGCAAGTTGCAAAAGTAAAAACGAACACTTAAGTTCACGCTACGTCGCCAGCCCCACCCAACGGTCCCTCTGAACCTTGCTTACAAAATGATATTTCGCTGTCACCCCACATGCGTTTTCCTTCACCAGGGAACTGACGAGCAGTATTCAGGTGCTGGTGCAGTGCACAGTGCGCTCCACAAACTGTGCGACTAAATGTAGCTTTTCTTGAAGCAGTTTACCTACTTACCACGTCGTCAAAAAATTATGATCCTGGGGAGGGCACAGCTAGCGTTGGTAACGATGAGGCAATATCCACGTGGGCTCGAAAGTAAACGAAAATATGTAATGGTTTTTAAATCCGGAAATCATATGAGAAAAATATACGGGCAAAACTTTCGTAATGTTGTACGACCACTAAAGCAGCCATTTCGAACATTATTCGGTGCAGTTCACAGCCCTACCCTTCGTGAGATCTTGAACCCTCTTTTTACTGATCTAAACGCCCGCATAGATGGGCAGATTATTTCGCGCAAACTATTTCGTGCAGGATTTTTCCATACCATTCAGGCATGCACGACACCATAGCAACGCCATTTAAATCCTGTTACCCCAAGACCATGCCGCGTTCAAGGCCAAGTAGAATATCATCGTCGAGCGGTTCAGATCTGGTATCAGTTAGCACGATTTCTAAATAAAGTAGACGTCAATTGGGGCTCTCAGTCAATGTTGAACAAGCTGTGCAAGCTTCAGTAATGAATCACGTTTTTTTACCACATGATGTAAGACGTTGGACACGGTTTCTTTACTTGCTGGTTGTTACGGAAATCAAAGTTTTAATCAAATAACTTGGCGATTGCGCCATAGTCGGGCATGTTAAAACGAGTTAACAACTTAAACTTAGCAATAAATATTCTAGAACACTTCTTTCCAGATGTAATTAAGCAATGATGTATTAAGAAACATGTTTGCTAGATAGAAAAATGGTATTGTTTACAGCAGTCATGTCCATTTAAAATTATACTGATAGTTTTAAGTGAGCTAGATTCATTAAATCTGATAGATACTTAAATATATTGAAATGTGGAACGCCTCAGTAAAAAAAGATAGATAGCGTTGTTTTTGACAGCGGAACTGCAAGTAAAAAATATGACATCACAGACAAATATACAATGAAGGCACGAGAAAGGGCCAAAGCACACGCACATAGCAGTCGTTGGGTGAGCTGACAGGCATAAATTAACATGCCTCCTTGCGGCGATTTGCAGTACTACAGGTGAGTAAACCGATCCGGCACAGTAGTAATGCACTTATGTGCTTACATGGCCATTCTGGCAGCGATTCGACGTCATAAAACCTTCGGTGACATAATCAAACAATGAAGCATTGAGGGCCTATATTTATCAGACAGTGGAATGTTGTTGTTTACAGCAGTCTTTGGCGCTGAAAAACATGACAGCATGCTAACCTTCATATCTTTAAAGGTAGAGCATTCGATTTAACCTGATTTCAGTGAGTTCGGTGAGGGCGCACGATAACGGGTAGGGAGCGCATATTTCGGCCACTCTTGAGATGTTGAGAACTAATAAGACTCAACAAATGCTGCTAAGGTTAACTCCGATTCCGCCTCACACAATGTTGGTATCAGTGCTTCCACAATGCTCAACGAAGGTAAAAGACAATTTGACGAGTGATTTGACTCATTCCGGAGCCAGCTTATCGATTCCCTTCGGCCATGGGCGCAATTATCAACGGAGCCGGTAGGGCCCGAACCCCAGTAACTGATGTGCAGATTGGACCAATTCCCAAGATAAAACAACAAAAAACCAGAACATTGAGGAATATCACCTGAGATCCCATCGATGATTGTTGAAAAATTCCACGCCTGTGTGTGTGTGTGTGTGTGTGTGTGTGTGGTGTGTGTGTGTGTGTGGTGTGTGTGTGTGGTGTGTGTGTGTGTGTGTGTGTGTGTGTGTGTGTGTATGTGTGTGTGTGTGTGTGTGTGTGTGTGTGTGTGTGTCTGTGTGTGTGTGTGTTTGTGTGTGTGTGTGTGTGTGTGTGTGTGTGTGTCCCCTTGAAAATCTGCACCAATCAGTAAAGTCAATGCACATGAAAATCCGTAACTCGCATCGCTCATTAGACAGACCCTCTGGCGTACCCTCTCAGTGGATTTGTTGTTACTGGCTTAGCGTAGATCCACTGAATTCACTGACACATTGAACCACTTGCACAGCTTCACAAGTTAGTTCTCGAATCACGTCGCTTGAAAGGTGGCCGACCACGGATCTAACCAAGCTTTGTGTTCTGTCGAAAATGACGAGGGATTTACCTTTGAAGTGGATGTAGATACCACAGAATTGGATTACACATGTGTATAGTTTGCATTGCTCCATTTTACATGTTTAGACCAGTGTGTCGTAATCAAATTCAGTTTTAAGGTCGCACTGGACGCATCCCGCTTGATGTCTAATGCTCCCATGTATCAGACGGCTCGGCTCTCTCTCTCTCTCTCA